GTTTTATTTCACCTATGCTTCTCTTGTTTTATATATCTAATTATTATTATTATTATCTTTATTATAAAATTGAACTTTATAACAGATAAAAATTACGCTATGCAAAATATTTCGTGAAGAATAAAGCATGACTTTCAAAAAATTTCAGTTATGAAGTTTTAGGTAATTTAAATTTAGGTACTCTTTAAGATAAATTTAACAAATATTTTGTAGCAAATAATAAATTTTTTTCAATATATTTCTGCTTAAGATTACTTAAATGAAAATGAATTTGTGATAACAATTTAGAGTTTTATAAATATTTGCATTTCAAATGTTTTTGTTTTTCCAAGTTTAAATAGGCTAGTTTTGCTCTCACCAGTAATTATATTCTTTTTGTTTTCTTCTAAAAAAAGGATTTTACAAAATTGTGCAAAAATGTGTCAAAATAGTTTCGAAATAAATATAATCGAATTTTTAAACTCCATGTACACATTATTGAGTACAGACAGTGACATATATGCTTAAAATTAAAACAGCTCTGTGAATCCATTTAGATTTTTAAATAAACATAACAGCAAGGTAGGAAAGTTTTGATTAAAAATCTGAAGAAATTCTTCATTCTTGAAAGTAAATTTGGAATAAAGATGAGTGCTGTAAGCTTGTATCGAGTTAGATTTTCTTTTCGAATATTTGTCACGTATGAAAATGATGAGTCACTTTTACATCATATGTCATTTTTGAGACTATTTAATTTTGAGCATGTTACTATACTGAGTATGCGTGTTTTCAAATTCGACTATAACAGTTTCGGAGCTATTTAATACATTTTTGCTCAATTTTTAGAAACCCTTTTTTAGGATACAGAAATCGGGAAGCAACTTCCACGCCCTTCTGTGAGCCACAGTTACTTCACAATTGCTTCAAACAAGACTTAATATCAATTTATGTTAATCAATTAATTATTTAATTGATTAACATATAATTAATCAATTAACTAAATTAGTTATTATGACAAATATAACCATTGATCCACACTAATACTAAACGAGGAAATAAATAAAACACATCTTTACACATAGAAACACATCGTTACACATAAAACACATAGAAACAAACACATCTTTGTCAGCTCCAAGAGATGTCTCTCCAGACTCTAAAATATAATGGATAAAAAGTATACTTTTTCCTTTTAATTTTTGAAATCCTAAGTTTAATCAACCTCAGTGGCATTTTTTTTCACTCCTATAGTGAAACCTGATCACGAAAAGATCGAAAGAGAGAAAGATTTCTTAATATTTTTATTTTTCAGTTTGATAATTCTTTAATTTGACTTTTATTAAAAATGTTTGTCACTCTTCCATGCGAGATCTCAACCAGTTTTTACGAATTAAGCGTTTCTCTTGCATTCTCTTTTTAATAAGGATGCGTAGCCAAATCTTGTAACTAAAAATAAAGCACCTTTTAAGTACTTTTTAAGCACTCAAAAATACTTTTGAGCACTATATACATTAACAAAATGCAAAATAATTTTCAAAGAATTTACATGATCGTGATAAAATAACTAGCTCCTGACAAAGAACTCCTTTCTCGATTATATTATCCATCATAAAATGTTCAAGAGATTTTTCGGCTTGATATCAGAGGGTGGAAAAAGAAGCCCGGAATTGAGAATGCAGCAGAGTTGCACACCAAAGTGCAATAATCTCACCGAAACCAGCTCAACTGACAGACATACAAACTCGCTAATATTTCATTAAACAAGTAAAATGATTGGCGCTTTCATACGCTATGAACCGACTATACGCCGAAATGGATTGTGATTAAATGAATTGTGAAAACGCCATAGACCAATGTGAAAAGCACTTTTTTGCATAATGCATGGTGAAAATCGAAATGGTAATGAAAAACTCTCATTTTCGGAACGGGAAAATTAAGCACCTTTTAAAAGCACCCAATGAAAAAAGCACTTTTAAGGGCTTTTAACAAACGAAAATCGAAAATAAGCCTCTTTAAGCATTTTTTAAGAACGCTACCCTCCACTTAGATCTTTTTTTTCCCCCATGTATATTAAAAATTGGAAACTATACATAAGGATTCTAAATATAAAGAAGAGCTACTATTAACAGTCTAAATTTAAACAGCTGTCGTAGAGCACAGTTATTTTTTCTTTGAGACTCCTCAATTAATTTTTTTCAAAGCAGTAGTTTTAAATCATTTCTATAATACGAGAAAACTGTGAAATAATGTATTCTGATATAATTCTTTTGTTATTAATGATCAGTAAACCAGTGTTCAATATTTTTTTTTTTCGTAATCCAAAACATATCGGTAAATAAAAAATTTCCAATTTAAAAAAAAATTCATAAATGTAAAACATTTGAATCTAATTCTACCTGTATTGCTCTATGCAAGTGAAACATGGACAGGATCCTTAGAAATATTTCTGGCCCAGTACAGGAAAAAGGCTGTGTTGGCGAATCATATACAACTTTGAATTATATAGACTCTATGGACAGCCACAGATAGTGCAGGTCATCCGAAGCAATAGATTAAGATGGCTTGGCGATATCTAGAGAGGTCCAGAAAATAATGCAGTCTGAATCGCCACCTTTTAAAATCCTTCGGGATCTCGGGTTAGAGGAAGACCTGCAACTAACATAGATGGCTGGATGACACTGCTAAAGATCTAAAAGTATTAAAGATAAACAACTGGAAAAAAGTCGCCAGGAAAAAAGTGGGCAGGAGGCGTTGGAGGCTACGTGTGGTTGAGACAGCCAAGGCCTGTAAGAGGCTGTCGTGCTGAATGAAGAAGAAAACATTTGAAACATCGAATGTATGGTTCATTGAGTTTGTGGTTCACAATATTACAATAAGTTTCATTGGGTATAAGTATCGTCTCAGTCAATTTGAATTTTACCAAGTATTCGCAATAAGAAAAATATCTCGTGTAACCTGCGAAAAAATTGTATATTTCTGTATTTAAATATGTTAAATAAATTATGTCTTAAAGATATAGAATTATGTTTTAAGAATATTTAAAAATATATACTAAATTTTTTTAAAGTATTTTTGGGAGGAAAATTAATTATCAAGTGCGTCGCAAATGATATGTTATAATAAAAAACTGAGAAATTCATCATTTACAATGCTTGATAAAAAAGCATTAGTTTCCAGAAAACGTAATAGCTAGATATTTAGAGTCAGTATAGAGTGTAAAGGGAAGTTTTTTTCTCTCCATATTTATAATTAATTATGATCTTGAAGCTCGTTAATAGTTTTACTGAGCTAAATAAATCACTAAGGGATAAATCATGATAAGGCGCAGTACTCAATAATTTTAGTTACATTTTCAAAATAAAATTAGAGAAAATGAATTTTCGTTAATATGTCGAATAGTTAAGAAAATTTTGCCGAATAGTGAAAACCTTTGTGGGGGTCACAGTGACCTCCCATCCCGGCGTCCCTGATAACATTACAAATTTTACTTCGATTCAATTTAAAATTCAAAAATGTATATTACTAATGTAACTTCTATTGCAATTTTTTATTGCATTTATTGTTTTTGAATGAATGATATTTTTCATAAACAAATTTTTCAGTCAAGTAGTTGTCAGTTAGTAAAAAATAATTTTAAAAATTCTACATGAAAAGCAAACCACATTTAAAAATATCCTGTTTAATTTTAGTTAAATATTTGAAGAGGTTTAAAGGACTGGCGATTGTGAAATAATTCCTTCATTCATCAAAAGCTCAAAAGTTCTGGATGGATCCTGGGTTTCACAAGAAGACGTGACCAGTCCTTCCTTCTGCGCGCCACAGCCATATGGAAGCAGTTCACTCACCTCAATCTGGGTCTGCCTCTTCTTCTAACTCCTATTGGCTTCGCAAGAAAGATTTTCCGTCGTCTTTCGTTCATCATTCATCCATAGAATGTGTCCGGCCAATTTCGCACACTGAACCTTATGATACTTCAGAGTGTCCGGTTCTGTGAATAAGTTCAGAGTTGGTGCTTCTCCAAACTCCATCATCACGAAAGCCACCAAAAATGAACGGCGAATCTTCCTCTCAAAAATTGTGAGAGTTCTCTCATCAGCCTGGGACAAGGTCCACGTTTCAGGTGCACACGTGAAAACTGTCCTGATGAAACTTTAATAATTGAAATAAAACTGAGAGTTGGCGTGATTAGGTATCATGAGGGTACTTAAATACGTCGCACTAGTGCTGCACAATGGTATATTGGTAACGGTCTGGGAAACATCCCTGAGAATGATCTGAAGACATGCCATCGCAATTTTGATCCTCTGCATAGGGAATGACTCCCCTGCTTTGGTAGCCCGACGACCTGCGCGAAGTGGAGCAATTTACGGTCGAGCAGTTTAGCGAGGACCGATACCTGGTACCCTTGGTCCCTACGGAGGCTGATCAAAGTGGTCACCCACCCGTTTACTGACCACAACCAGTGATGCTTGACCTCGGTGTTCTACTGGGAACCGCGTCTTTACGATCAGTCCACTGCGGGACGTATTATGAGGTATTATATGCTACCATCCACATGCGAAATTATCAATTCGTATCAAATAAAAATAACCAACTCAGAGTACATAGCCGATATCGGTATCCTTCTTTGCCTAGCGCTTACGGTGCTAAATCAAATCAAAACTTAGTGACAATAGTTTCTTTCTTTAAGAACTTATACTTAACACACATTTCGTTAAATGCAAACACAGTTTAAAACATTAAATAGTAATTTTATTTAAAGTAATTAATTTAAGATTGCTTAAAGGTTTGTAAATATTGATTGAACGTTTAGTGCACTTCTAATTTCTCTCCTGATTCAGTCAAACAACATAAAAAGCATTAAAAAAATTATTAAACGAATAGAAAAAGTTTTCGTATGCAAAAGGTTTACTCCTTTGTGTTTATTTATTTATTGAAAGTTTCGTTGTGTTTGTATGAGGTTGTGTCTTGTGAGTAACAAACGTGAGACTACAGCATGCTTAGTTTTTTTTAAACAGTTTATTTTTAAAAAAAAGGATTATTAAGAAAAATCATTCACAACCTTATCATAATACAAAAGATTATTTAAATTACTTCCTAAGCACAGACTTTTGAATGAATTTCTAAATTCTAATTCTGCCCCGCAGAATAATTTTACATGAACAGCATTTATTTACATAAAATGAAACATGTTAGACAAAAAGACAAAATTTCATTATGAAATTGATTATATGTAGTGACAAACAACGCTGTTATTTGTATCTATATACAGTGAAATTTTTTGTAATTACTCCAAACTTTATGGAAAGGATATAGATAACATGTCAAAACAAGCATTTTTTTTTTATCAAACAACGTATAATTATCTAAACTCAAAAAGAATTCGTAAAAATCCGTTATAATCTTAAATTGCTACATTTAAGTATAAAAATTACATTTTCCATTTCTTGCTGTTTGTCTAACACTTAGACAAATTCAATGTTTTAAATATATACTTAGCAAAAGAAAGTGATATTTCAAATTCTTTCATCAGATTTCCATCTTAATCAGGTAAATTTTTTCGATTAAAAAATAATATTATAGAAAAATATGAATCTCAATAATACGAAAGCAAAAAATAATCCATACCAGCTTAGAGTCCCAATTGGGTACTTGCACTTTAAAAAGAAGACCGCGGATACCCACACATGTGACCTATGACATCAGCGCTAGCTGATCGCTTATAAGCAAAATGGCTAGTTAAAAATAAGCCAAGTTTCTCCAAATTAGTTAGAATATTAATTAACTTGAAGTTCTGATACAGTGCCGTATGATTTATCATTTGTTTATGTATTTTATTGTAATCGTGATATATTTTTGTTTTGTGTACCTAGCAACTACGATACATAATTTGTTTATGTTTTACATGGCTTCTTGTCTGTCTTTGAGTTAAGTAAAAAAATGTATAGTGAAAAAATTGAAATCATTGTTAAGGAATCTTTGTGTATTAATATAGAATGTATCATTTAATAAATTTGATGCTTGGCGTACTCGAAACAGAATGGAAAGGACAGTTTCTAACGTAAACAAATGTCGCATTTCAACAACCAATCAGGATTGAAATACCCACACAACGTCAATTACAGGTATCCCATTGTCCTTAAAACATTATGAATTTCTATTTAGTTCCGACTGCGCATGAGCATTTTTTGATAAAATAAATGCTCGTTTTGACATTTTTATATAAAATTTGTTACAACTCTTTAAATGTACACATGGTGTTCTGATAAGATGAAAGGTCGAAAATGAGTTGATCATGATTCAACTTGGTAAGCGATCCAGTACTTAATTTTCATCATCATCAGTTGTTAACACTTATAATTTGGTTCACCCATCCGATGTAAGAAGACACCTTGACGTAAACTCCAGGAACATCTTTTTTGCCGCATCCAAATCCCCATGATACAAGTCCTGTTAATTCGTGATAGCCTTCATTTTCACACGTTAAAGGTCCGCCACCATCGCCCTGAAACCAAATGTTTATACATTAGATTAAAATATAAAAGCTTTGAATTGCATAGGTATAAATTGCTGAATTTAAATGGTTATCCCGCCCAAGATACAAGAGAAATTTTAACTTCTAAGTAAAGTACAATTCATTTTTTTTTTTAAATTTAAAAAGAAATTTTTTATTTAATCTCGAAGTGTATATATTGAGATTATGCATGACACATCACAAGTAGTAAGGGCTCTTTTCGAATCTGCTGCTACTAAATTCTTTCAGCCTGTGCCAAGGGGATCATAACATTTAAGAGTTTTTATCTCCTAACCTAAAACTCCCATTTATTCCAAAGGGAATCATAACATTTGAAGTTATTTTTTATCTTCTTACCTAAAACTCTCCTTGGTTCCAAGGAGAATCACAGCATCTAAAGTTTTTTATCTTCTTGCCAAAAACTCCCATCAATTTCAAGAGGAATCATAACATTTACGATTTTTTTTTATCTTCTTACCTAAAACTCCCATTGATTCTAAAGAGAATCATTATCGTAACAAAATTCTCATTGATTCAAATGGGGAATCATAACATTTAAGATTTTTTATCTTCTTATCTAAAACTCCCACTGAGTCCAAGGGGATCATAACATTATCTCCTTACCTAAAACTCTCATTCATACCAATGAGAATCATAAAATTTAAGGTTTTCTCATTTATACCAATGGGAATCATAAAATTAAGGTTCAAAAACTGAAGTCAATTTCAAGGGGAATCATAAAAATTGCGATTTTTTTTAATCTACTTACCTAAAACTCCCATTGATTCCAAGGAGAATCATTAACATAATAAAATTCCCATTGATTGATTCCAAGGGGAATCATAACACTTAAGGGTTTTTTTAATCTTCTTACCAAACAATCTCATTGATTCCAAGGGTAATCGTAACACTTATGTTTTTTCTTGTTTTTTTTTTTTTTTTTAATTCTTTTTACTTTAAACTCCTTTTGATACCAAGGGGAATCATAACATTTTAGGTTCTTTATCAACTTACATAAAACTCTCATTAATTCGAAGGAAGAATTATAACAAAACAAAACAGTAATGTTTTTTTTTATCTCTTCGCCTAAAACTTCCATTGTTTCTAGATGGGCAACATTTTAATCTACAAACATTTCTTTAGTAATACATTTTCTCTTTTTAATAGTAGATGACTGCACTACATCTGTTGATGAATGAAATGATGCTTGTTTGAGTTTTGTCCAGACTTTGTTTTTTTAAAGCTTTTTAGGTAAGTAAGGATTTCAAATACTTTATTTTTTATTTATTTAAATATTCATAAATGGTATTTCATCAATTTGTAATAATTTTCCTTCTGGAAATGCAAGCGTTTTTATTTATTGTAAAATTATGATTCCGAATCGAATCAGAAGAAACTGAGTAGAATTCAACACTGCTGTTTGTTTCTTATGTTTTATGAAATTTGCTTATTAACCTCTTCGCATCGAAGAAAAAGGAAGATGCAAATTATGCATCAAGTATTCTGGACTAATGTGTGAAAATGCATTCTCCATTTCTGCCCAGCAATACTAAGAAAGGTTTAAAAACCTTTAATCTAAAATATAAAAAAAAATTTATAAATATTACAATGTTTAATGAATAATATTGCCACATCAGTAATGTTAAAAATCGGTTAAAATTTTTCTCTATTTTGTAAAACAGTCATAGGAAACATGAATTTTGTTTCTTTTTACATCTAACTTCAAACGTAGTTATTAAATGTGTCAACAGATGGCGCCACAAACGGAAAACATTAAAAAATGATGATTTCTGATGCGGATGAACTATTCCAATTGCAATGTTTGTCTTGACGCTGCAAATGGAGGATTAATTTTTTAGTTTTTTGCGCGAAACGGTAGCAAGCTTTTAATCTATTTCACCTTTTCCTTTTTAAATGATTTCTCAAATCGTTAATCATTTTTGGGACGCCTGACATTCGATACTTTTAATGTGTTTGCTGATCTAAAATCGAAAATTATGATAGAAATGTCTATAATTACAATATAAACGAAATTCGCCTTCTCAAAATCGCATCAATTAGTACTTATATGGGAAGCATTACAAATTATTTTTTGAGTTTCATTTACCTGGCAGGCATCATTGCCGCTTTCTCCGCCAGCACAGAAGCTACCTGTAGGTAAAATAAACCTCTTTTCGGTCACTTTATTTATTTGTTCAGTGCATAATTTTTCTTCCACTATTGGTAAAACAGCTTCTCTAATTTTAAGAGCTACGGGACCACCTAAAAAAAAAAGAAACACTTTTAATATAATGAATACCTTCATTAACATAAATTTTGTCATAAACTATTATTAACAGAGCCCGACTTTGCCTAATTGGGGCCCGGGGCAAAAATTTCTTTTGGGGCCCCCCTCTGCTTCAGTAATGGAGAGCTGAACTTTATGGAGCTATTTAAATTGTTCACCTCGTTATAGATATATAACAAAAAATTGACTAGAACCTTAAATAGCTATAAAGTGCTCCCCTCCCCTCCCCCAATGGTCAGACGAAATATTGTTCTTTCCATTTTATTGATTTTCTGACAATTCCACGTCCAGCATGCGAAGACAGTTTTCTGATTGTTAACTTTGTCATCTAGCTGCATAAAATTCATATTCTAGTTGACATAAGGGCGGAATTCAACTAAATTTTCATAATAACGATAGCTCAATTAAGCCAATCAGAAGCCCGTATTTTTGTAAGCAGATTGCATTTTGCGATATACAAAAATATAGGCTTTTCATTATCCCAATTTGTCCGTAGTAATTGCGAAAATTCAGCTGAATTTCCTCCTAGAAAACCATGGATTTAAGAAATATAGATATTTTGTGTTCATACGATAGATTAATGAAGAAGCTAACATAAAACTGACGAATTTTACACTGTACTGATGTTTTGTTTAAAAAAAGTTCAATGAAGAAGGAAATTTAAAATGAACTCTCTATTCGATTTAGGGGCCCTCTGATGTGGGGGCCCGGGGTGACTGCCCCGTATGCCCCTGCCTTAGTCAGGCTCTGATTATTAACTATAAACAAAATAAAATCCTAAAGCTTATTCTTTATCAAACCGTAAAACTCTTTTTTTAACAATGATAATGCCAATTATTTTTATAGTGTTATTTTCTTCTTTTTTAAATATATAGCAGCATTTTCGCTAAATTTTCGTACTTTCTCATGGAGAAAAGGATTACGTTATACTTTAAAAAATACCACAAATTCAGAATTTTTCTTTAAAAAAAAAAAAAAAAAAAAAAAAACAGATTTAAAGTTAATATAAGCAGGTAAACAATCTAAATAATGGGAGCATTTTTAGAAGTCCAAACAAAGTTTTCAAATCAAGAATAAATCACGTTTGCACCTTCTTTCGAAGTAACCTTCAGTCACCATCTTGAATTTATTCAAGGAGTCAAAAGAGGGAGAGAGTTAAAAAATTACTAGTTAGGGGATTGTTTCAAACTTTATTTTTTGCCCCGAATCGAATTAAGCCAGTTCAAACCTATACGACTAATAATTTAGAAACCATTACGTGAAATTATTAGGAGTAGCAGCTAAAGTTCTCCTCAGGGAAGAGGATAAACTTCACATGCCCATATTATTCTTAAATCAATATTACATTTTTTTTTAAATTCCTCCTTTATTCCTAATTATTTCCGCATTCAACTACATAAGAAATCGAAATTAGTTTTACGATGGAAGAAGAAATTTAAAAAAAAAATGAGTAATCAACAGCAAAATATTAAAACCACCATCAAAGACATGATTAAGTTAAAATGGCTAAAACATGTCAGAAGTTTAACTTCTTATGCTCACTTACACACGCAAATGCCAATCCAGCTGTAATGACGTCATTGGATAGTCAATACACAACTTGCGCATCCACAGAATTGCGATTAAAAACCGAATTACATACCGCATTTCAAAATCGGCGCAATTAGCAATCGTCTTAAACATTTTGCCCACTTACACAGGCAAACGCCAATCCAGCTCTAAGGACGTCAGTAGATAGTCAATACACAATGTGTGCATCCACAGAACTGCGAAGTAACCTTTACGGTGGCGGTATAACAAAGCGGTACTTACTTTCCGGATATGCCCGATATAACAAATTTAATATCAGAATACAGCTATAATATATTAATTCCTAAAATAAACTTATCAAAGTTGGCACAACTGTATCGCAAAGACATCGTTTCATCAAATTACTAATACAATTAGAAAAACCTTTTTTTTAACATAAACCAATTGAATCCAAGTATTTTAATGAATTTGAATTCAATACAGTACTGTACCTTCATTCATGTAACCATATCCTGTTACAGTGCACCGTGTACCAGGGGGACTTTCTGCATTTCTAGCCGGCAAACAGGCTAAACACACGCTATCTTGAAGTTGAACAGGATTTTCAAGCCTCAATAGAGCAATGTCGTTGTCCAGTGTCTGCCCGTTATGGTTGTGGTGGATGTAAGATGTGGAAACCTTTTGGGTTTGAGCACCTGGAGTTCCATATTGACTTGCTAAATCGTAGTCTCCTACTCGGACATAGATTGCATCACCATTGCGGACCAACCTTTATTAAAAATAATAAATAACTTTAAAGCGAATTACACCAGGGAATACATTTTTTGTTGCATTTATACAAATACTTGGTTTCTTAATTCGGATATGGGGACTTCAAATCTGGAATTAGTTTTGCTCCTAAGGCTATGCTTTTTCTTTTTTTTTTAATGACACTTTTTAGTCTATATTTTGTCGATATTTACTAGTTCAAAAACATTATATATGACAGTGGATTGCGTAAATGTTACGACTAATTTCTTGGGTAATTAAAGCATATAATCAGGATAAAATTGCATAGGAATCCATCTCTGGGAAAAGTCGTCGCACGCTACTAGGGGCGCTTCAGCTTTTAGGACCTATTTAGCAGCATATGAAGAAAAAGTTCGCAATAGGAAAGTGCCTCTATCAGCGTATGACAACATTTCCAGGTATTAGTTGATGATATGCCCTTACTTCTCTAGAAATTTGTCAAAAAATTTATGCTACCCTCTGTTATGTGTATAGCGTTTTTAAACATTGCAACAGAAAAATTGTATAAAAATGGTGAAACGCTAAAAGAAAATTGTATCTTGGGAACAGTAACCGATCGCTGATTTGATCAAAAAGTATATAATCAAATATAAATCAATATAATCAAATATAAATCAAAAGTATAAATCAATATAATCAAATATAAATCAAAAGTATAAATCAATGTAATCAAATATAAATCAAAAGTATATAAGATCTGTTTAAAAAAAATTTCTGCAACAGAAAAAAAATTGCTCCCCAGTAATATTTTATATTAAAACATGGGAATAAGGAAACTAGTTTAAGATGCAAAAATTTCAGAGCAGCGTTGTAGGATTTGTGACGATTCAAGATGAATTATGTTTTGTACAAAACACACTTCTTTAACAGTTGCATGCCCACATTATTAGCAATTGCATGCCCAATTTAAAAATTGAGAAGCGCTTCAATATTTGTACTTTTTCACGTTTTAATATGCAATAGAGATGCATTAGTCATATTCATTTAACCTGTTATGATGATGGGAATTACAAAATGTGACAGATGCTGTAAATATGGGGTGTTTGGTCGAGGATAAGTGAAATACTTAGCCACTGTATGATTATATAAATGAAAATTTTACGGCAGCCAATTTTTATAGTAGCTAAAATGGAAATATGAATATCCAATTTTGAATGTATAACACTGGCATCGTCTTATAAAAATAACTTAGCTTTCTATTTTAAGTAGTTCTATTCGAATTTTTCGAGTACTTTATTACAACAGTTATTTTATTTAATGTATGCGGTTACAAGTTATGCAATTTTAAAGTTGTATCCTATCCCATTTAATATAATTTGTGAATGATTTCGTGCTTAAGATGCATTAAAAGATTTATAGCTCTATTTTTTTTCTTTTTTAAAATAGGGAAACATAAGCGTAATAAACAATAACAAACGAACAACTTCTTTACCAAATTTGCATTTCTGAGAGTTGTATAATAAAATTTCATGATTTTTTATAACCAAACATTTTTATTTCTTAATAACCAAATTTGTATTTTTGTATTTTGTGAGTTGTATAATAAAATTTTATATTTTTCAGAAAAAAACATTTTTATTTTTCAATAATCAAATTTGTCCCGCAGTGGACTGATCGTTAAGACACGATTCCCAGCAGATCACCGAAGTCAAGCATCACTGGCTGCGGTCAGTGTGCGGGTGGGTGACCACTTTGATCAGTCAGTGTAGGGACCGAGGGTGCGCGGTATTGGTGCTAGTTAAACTGTTCTACCGTGAAGTGTTCAACTTCGCTTGTAGGTCGTCGGGCTACCGAAGCGGGGGTGCCATCCTCTCTGCAGAAGATCCAAATTGTGATTGCATGTCTTCGGATCATCCTCAGGGATGTTTCCCAGACCGTCGCCAATAGTCCATTGTGCAGTCTAGTGCGACGTAAATGAACAACAACAATAACGAAATTTGTGTTTATTTTACCAAATATTATCCAAATCCATTTAAGATTAATTTGATAATGATTTCATGCTTAAGATGCATTAAGAGGTTTATTTAGCACGTCTTCTTTTAAGTAGGGAAACATAAACATAATAAACCATAACAGAAGGACAAATATTAGTTTTTTTTTAAGTAAATAAGTCATTTTAAAAGTCAATCAGATAAGTGATAATCAACACGCATTTGAAAAGCATTCATAAAATGCTGAGGCTTAAACAAAACATTAGTGATCTAGACGATTTTTTAAATGCTTGAATATCGTGAGGAGAAATGATCTACTTTCTTTTTTCCTCGAGCAATAAGTTACGCTTAGCTTAAACTTGAAATAATGTATCTTTTACTATACAAATGATGTTGTTTTCAAGATCAAATGTTTTAAAGTCGCAGAGGAATAAGATCTGCCGTGGAGCTTTCTTCGTTTAATAGGCCATAAAGAATACATTTCCTCGAGACATCTGATGCATTAGTGCTTAAGTGAAAGGGCATTAGATAGCTTATTTTCCTCAATAGTAAGAAGATTATTTCAGTAGAAGTCACTGGGTGTACCGTGCTATTGATACGGTAATCAGATAAGCTTTTTAAAAGATTTGATCGCTAATCGGTAGAAAACAATGTGCAAAAATAAGCTTTTAAAATGTTAATGCTGCCCCCACAGACATAAGTTCTCAAAATCGTAAACACTGAAAGATTGAGAAATGTATATCTTCTGCCAGAAACATTTCGGTAAATTTATCTGTAAAATAATCGGTAAAATAATATGTAAAAAAACGTATCACATTAATGTATTTGTAAATTATTTCTGCAAAATGCAAAAAAAAATACAAAAAAGATTTTAAAAAAATAATAAAATCTTGAGCTTGTTCACAGCAAAATTTTATATTTTTTGTCTTTATATTTTTTTAATTCTTTAGCACAGATGGGCCAACAGTGCCCCTTTTATAAACGAGTGCCCTCGTATGCCCTCGTATATTTGTATAGGCGTTACAAGTAAAAAAATATTTTGGTATTTTTTTTATTATAAAAACTCTAATAAATTAACTTAAAAAACGTAATCTTTAAAAAATTTTCAAAATTGAAAGATATTTTTAAATTTATGTTTATATATTTATATGTTTTCATGCAAATAATAAACTACATGTGTTTCAGTAATTGTTGGTTAGAGTATCGCTCAAGCTGTTTGTGTATGTCAGGGGTCGTGAATTCAATCCTGGCAGCAGAATTAATAAACGTTAAAAAGTATGTTAAATCTTAACTGTTGTAACTAATATTTCTCTCGTCAGTGTTTTGTAAAAATTGGAAAAGAGGAGTACCAGTTCAGATTCTGTCCTCGACAACATATCGGGGTCAATATTGCGTAGCTAAGCGCTATCATAATTTTCATTTCAAGCATCATATTTATATTTCTTATCTATATATATATATGTTATTCTATTGCGCAGTTATAATTTTTATTTCGTAACTCATTTATGTCATAATTTTGAAATGATATTCCGTATAATGACATTAAATGTCATGTAATAATTGAAGTATTTAGATCTTGACTTTAAAACTTTTTGCTTTGAAAACATTTAAAAATTCGTTAAACTGAGAGCTGAAATTCAAAATGCCTGAAATTATCGAAATCTACACTATTAAAATTTTTATTCTGAAATTACGCTAAAATAACCGACAGCAATCTGCCCATCCGATTTACCTTAAGTTTACGGTTAGAAACATTTCTTTAACTTTACGGTTTTGAAGCCGTTTGCATCTGGTACTGTTAAATTCCTTGAGTACGAAACTTTACGGTTTTGTAACCATTTATTACTAACATAGTTCCTAAACCATGAAAATAAAACGTAAACGGACATTGGAGCTTCGTGGGTTCTGCGCCATTTATGTGTTAAAGATGGTTTCGCATTCTGATACTCTAGGGTCAAAGATTTAAGAGTGCAAAACACTAGAAACTTTCCATGCTTTGAAGGAATGGAAGAAATATTGTGGCATCAACACTAGGTTCCAAACCCCTGTTCAGCCGGTCATGAAATTGACCGATTAGCCCTCTCAGTTACTTTATATACCAGCTGCATGGAACAAAATAGCTTCATGAGGTAGGCCTAGCTGGCACGGATAGAATTATAGTTGTTGAACCGTAATAGGTAAAAATCATCAATAAACTTTTTTTCTCGCACCTAACAGTTTGAAAATTATCTTTTTTTAGGTAATTTGACTGTTTTGGTTAAATATTGTAAAATAGCAATTAAATAAATTGCTATTTAGCCATTTTTACCGAGAAACTTTTAACAGTGTAAAAATAACTATAGAAGTGTACAAATAAATGAGGAACTTAACAGGGGGGAAAAAACTATTTATAAAGAGTTTTTCTTTTTTTTCAGTTAAGTACTTACTATGTCTGAAGATAAGCAACAAAATCAATCACACTTTGTTTAAGTTTTGAATCAATTGTGGAGAAATTATAATTATTATTACAGTTTCAAAATGGTTATCTCGCGGAGAGAAAAAATAATGCCATAAAAAAATAATCACAAGTGATTTATAATTTTTGTGTCTCATCCACGCTTATGTTAGCATCGAATGATTTAAGAAAATTTCCGACATATAGGGAATTTCGAATTGGTATTTAAATTATTAAAAGAAGAAAGCATGGTCAAATAGTCAGCCCTTATAGAAAAAAAATTTACAGTATTTTAACTAAGGGGATTGTTGTTAATATCTATGTTAATAAATACTGAGAGGTTTTGACATTATTGTGTTTCGATTATTGTGTTCGGAAGGTCTATTGTTGTGAACTTTTCTGTGTGCCAATTTCATCTCGAGAATGTAGTTCAGAGGCCTAAAATATAAAATTCAGACCACACAGGCGTATAACAGTAGCTAATTTTTTTATGTATTTTTAATTTATTAGCCTTAAAGCTGTGCAGAAGGAAAGAATGTCAAACCCCTCCTATATCTTGCTTTGTTTGCTGTTTGTAATTTGTCCCAATATGGTTCGGATATTAGAAAAAATTGAGTGGGGCGATCGGAAAAAAACTACGCAGTAGCCAATTGTGGGGCGAGCGAAAACGAAGCATTAATTTAACATCATATATTTTATTCTATAACCGTTGTTGAACAGCCGACCCAATTTTTTGGGATTACGACTGCTAATGTTCAACTCCGTAGCCTTGTAATTTTAAACCCAATCCAGAAGACAAGGGGAACTCCTGGATTAAGTATTGGGAGAAATTTGCTTTCATGGAGAACTTTTTCGATGGAACTAACTCGCAGTTGCCTTACATGGAGAGGAAGACCACGCGAACATCCTATGGTTAGTCTGACGCGAGGGGACTCGAACCCATGATCCGTCTACCACTGAGGATATTTTTTACGTCAGCGCTGTGGTCGGTGCTAGCTGGGTGCGGAATTCGAATCGACCAGCCTTTGCAGGGATTCGAACTCGGTTCACCTCATTGGAAGGAGAACGCTCTATCCCCTGAGCTATCACGGCTCTAGCCTCATATATATTTAAAATAAGATATAAAAAAGAAAGGCAAAAAAAGCTAGCGTCTTGAATAATGCTGGGGTGAAATGAGCGGTATGGAGGTTTGAACACAGCTTGCGAGAAGGGAGCAAATTGATGTATAAAAGCCCAGGTATTAAATGAAACTAAGTCAAAATGAGTGAGAGAAGTGAACTCAGATTGAGATCCTTGCTACAATCCTCGAAGGTGTCGAGCGAAAGCGAGAGGTGGCTGGGTTTACCAGTCAAGCTAAATACTTTTTTGAATTATATTTCAATATTAACAAATTACTTACACTGTAATGCAATGAGCAGCTGTAAGTACCCAACGACTGCCAATAAGTGCTCCTCCGCACAGATATTGATTTTTGGCATTGATTAAAGCAACCTAAAAAATTAAAAAAAGTTTGACATTGTTACTGGAAGCATGAAGAGGAATAAAACAAACTGTACTTGTATGTACCTAAATTAAAGATAAATGACAAATTTCTAAGCAAACAATTTATGTATAAGCAAACAATTAACAGTAGGGGAGAGTGGGGTCAATTGTAACTGGGTACGATTGTAACAGAGCAAAAATTTCGAGTATCGGGTTTTAGATTTGGTTCTTAGATGGCGCACAAGGTGTATTTAATGAATCTACATGTACACCCCTGCTGGTAACCATTTCTAGGTACTTTTGAAAGAGTTATATCACAAAAGATATTTTCACGCTACGTAAGTACTTTTTTTGGTGTTAGAATATTATATTGTANTGCATATCTTGCCTTCTTAATTTATAAAACAAAAAATTTTTAAATTTTCTTTTTTACTAAAGTTTTTACAGAAAAAAATGCAAAATTATGTTACGTGTGTTACTGGGAAATTAGACTATCTTGATTAATCGACTTTCAAACAAGCAAAAAAATTTAGGCCAAATTAAAAAAATACATTAAACAATGATAAAAGAGTAAAATAGTTATATTTATTACTAAAAACTATTTTATTGCTCTTTAATATTTTAAGAACTCCATTGGAATATAACATAACAAAGAAGAGAACTCCTGTTAAAATTCATAGTGTTCCACCTTTTGTTAGAATTCACATAAATATTTTTTGTAATTCAAAAAACTATCTTAACTATTAAAAAATGTACATCTTCTAGATTCCGAAATTGTGTCATTTTTGATTTTACGATAATTTTGAAAATTTAGTCACTCAGGACCACTTTTCGTGGAATCGCCCTAATACTGATAATATATTGGATATTTTGTTAGTTAAAAATAGTTAAGTAAAAAATGTTACAATTGACCCCACTCTCCCCTACTTAATTTTATAATAAATTGAATCAAACACATAGTTACAATGTGGAAAGCTATCAAATTAAAATTAACAAAATTCATTTAAAATATTTAATATAAATACAAAAATGGATGCAAATTAAAATGCAAAATAAAGTTTGTGTGGCTTTAATGCCCATACCATCATTAATAAGAGGTATGGAAATTAATAAAATGCTTTAGAAAGTCATATATGGCTTCTAAATTTTGTTTGTCTCCTTACTTTTGGTATAAAATCTAGAGAAATAAAAAGTTAATTTCCAAGAGTGCAAAAAAAATGAAATAACATTACTTCCGAATCAATTTTTTCTTCTTTTATGAAGAAAATGAATTTTGACTTTAGCTTTCTTTGCTTAAAACAATAACAATAAACCTACGTTTTTACAGTCGCACGCAAAGTCAACGCATGTACAGTGTAGAAGGGAATAAGTAACAAGAACCAGTTTTGAGAAAAATAAAATTTTGGTTATATCACTATTTTCAGGGATCCAATTTCTGTGGTCATATCCATAAAATTATGGGATCCGACATGCTCAAATGTAGTTGAATCCGATATTGGTCATATAGTATAATCAAGTGTCTATGCTGCCCTATATGGGTAAGCAATACGGGCCTCATGTAAATTAGTATGTTGTTCTTCAGTGTCTGGTATCTTCTAAAATTATACATAAGTTTTCTCATATGGTAAGGTCTATATGAGTCATGTATGAGACCCATATAAACGGAGGGATTATTTGGTAGAGTTCCATATGAGTTACGTTTTTAACCCACTGAGCATCTAACAAATGGGCAAAATTGAGAGTGTTTTTCCCCCCAATGCACTATTTCCCTATCTAATATCATAGAAGACCGGTTTTGCTATGCGGAGAGGAGTGTAGATTTTTATACGACTTTTTACGTGCAGAACCGTTAGTGGGTTAAAGGCACGTACAATAACCTACATGGCTTTGTGGTCATGGTTAACCAACATGACCACAAAGTTGCGAGAAACTAAATTAAAATAAAAATATTTTACAAAAAAAAAAAAAGCTGATGAAAATGATTTTAAATTTAGTTTTAAAAGTGTCTGATTTTTGAATTAGAAACTACAACTGTTTTAGCATTCTTTTCATTTTATTTCCCACTAATTGAAACAATTATTTGAGATCTTTTTAAAGAGTAATTCAATACTTATTTTTTTTATAATTAAATAAAAATTTAAATTATATTGTAATAAGAACTATTCCTCAATGAAAATTGCTTTTTTTTTTTATAATTGTATTCCTTGATTGATGTAAACAGGAACTAAATTTATTACATTATACTTTTTTTATCATATTAACAAGTCCTCAAACAAGCAAAAAATAATAATAAAAAAAAAACTTTATGGATGAACGATGTTACATGTATTACCTGCCAACACCATTCACCCGGAGTAGAAGATTTACCACCCATAANTTTTTTTATAATTAATTAAAATTACATAATATATTGTAATAAGAACTATTCCTCAATGAAAATTGCTTTTTTTTATAATTGTATTCCTTGATTGATGTAAACAGGAACTAAATTTATTACATTATACTTTTTTTATCATATTAACAAGTCCTCAAACAAGCAAAAAATAATAATAAAAAAAAAACTTTATGGATGAACGATGTTACATGTATTACCTGCCAACACCATTCACCCGGAGTAGAAGATTTACCACCCATAACACGTCCAACTCTTCTTCTTTGATTTCCTTTTATTCCACACACATACAAACCTGGTCTTCGAACGGCAGAAGCATCTTTAAAAAAAAAAAAAAAAATTAAATTTTTTAATCAGGATTTAATATAAATCACACTTTAAATTATGAGTCCTATGATACAAAATTAAAATATATTATGACAAAAATTCAATTTAAATAAGTTAAAAGAAAATATATGGTTGTTATATCACCATTTTCAGGGGTCTAATTTTATGGTCATATCCATAAATTATGAGACCCAACATATTCAAATATGGTGAAACCCAATATAGTGGTCACATAGTATAATAAAGTGCCCATGCGGTTCTATATGGGTAAACAATATGGGCTTTATAATAACTAGTATGTTGTTCTTGTATGCTTTTTTATTTCATAAAACTTAATTGTAATTTCTAAAAACTAAAATTATTTTTAACTGCTGATTTCATTATTTATTTTTTAAATTACAAATAATTGTTATATTTAATTGTAAGGGATGATCAAATATTTCCGTTTTATGGCAGTACACAGTTCATATTTGGTCAGTCATACAAAATATGAATTGTACAATCCATCTAAAAAAAGTCAGCTTTAGCATCCAGAAAATCATTTCACTGATTAACCAATTTGAATATACCAGTTTGATAAAGCTTCTTTTTTTTTTGCTATCGTAATTGTAAGGGATGATCAAATATTTCCGTTTTATGACTGTACGGTTCATATTTGGCCTGTCATACAAAGTATGAATTGTGCAATCTATCAGAAAAAGTCAGCTTTTCAGCATCTAGAAAATCATTTCACTGATTAACCAATTTGAATGTACCAGTTTGATAAAGCTTCTTTTTTTTTGTTATCGTAATTAAAGAATTTCAAAATTGCCTGCTGCACTTCCTCACCCGACTGGCACAGAACTGTCAGGTGCATGCTATACAAAAAATAGTTTAATTTTACAGATAACTAAATCATGACAAATCCGTAATAAAATTTAAAATGCTGAGTTTTTCGTAGTTGTAAAAAATCTTTTGCACGTCTTTAAATTTTCAATAAATTCAGTTTTAAAATATAGGAACCAGCAATGTCCCAGATAAATCCTCTCACCATAAACTAAAATAAAATCATAAATCGTATTAAAGTTAACCGGTAGGAAAGATAAAGATAATTTTTTTTGGAAAAAAGTTGACATTACGTTTAAAGATATTTTTGTGGGGTATTATTAAGCAAGTCACGTTACTTTTTATAACATTTTTGTGTGAAATTTTAACCTCAAATTAAGTTTTGCTAAAATTTCTGAAGAACTTATAACCCATACCAAACGAAAATATGATATTACTAATAGAATTATTCGGAATTTTAAAAAAAATTACCTTCCATTTTCTTTTCTTCCTCAGAGCTTGAAATAATTAATGGTTTTCCTAATTTGAGGTGTTCTTCATACTTCTGAACGTGTTCAACAGGTGTGCAGCAAAGTGTTCCTTCAGATTCACAGCCGAATCCATCATATATAACACTTGATCCAAAACAAGTGAATCTTAAAAAGGAACCTATGCATGATCCTGGACATTCAGGTCTGGAATCCTTTTTCGTATTGTCAACGTGAGATGGTTCGCTGTTATTGGGTGAAATATTACTGGCTGGTATTGAGTTGTGGATTGCTACGTTAGGAGCAATTGGTGGCTTCGTTGGCTTTTGATTTGGCGATGATGGCTTAGCTTGGTTCAAAATTGATGAGGTTTGCTGCATTGGATATGGTCTGAAATTGTCTTGAACTGGTACGAAAGAGGTTCCTGCTGCTTCGGAAGAATGGGGCACTGAGTGCTCAGGAATTTTCTCCATTAACTGAACGTTTAAGGGAATGTGAATAACTGATTTCGAATCATCATTATTGTTTTCTGATGATGTCGAAGGAGGTTGATTTGGCGTAATAATGGGATGGAATTTTTCTAGGTTCGGAGGATTATTGTTGAGATCAATTATTATCGGTCGAACACGATCGGAATCGAAACGTATTGGTGCGTCAACAAAACGATTAGGATCACCATTCTGCTTTTTATGCATTGTAAACTCTTCGGGTTGCATCACTGGTTTTGGATTTTGAATAATAGGAGGATTTATGCGAGTAGGTGTGCCATAATTTACTCCTGACTGAGGCTGTTCTTGCGAGTTAACAAATGTCTGTGGAAATTCTAACCGCGTAATATTTTGCTTCTTTCTGTCATAAAAATGATGACCCATTTGATCGACATCAGGTCCACCATGTTCGATTGGATGATGATCCAGTGAGCTATTATGATATTGAGGTCGACTAGGGAAGTTCTGTTGACCATTCGGATAATTTGGAAAATTGTTAGGTAAAGAAGGATTAACTCCATATGCAACTTCTTGGTTAGGTTGTATCTGTGGTATATATTTAGGACCATCAACTTCTTCGTGAATATCATAACCATCGGGTAAGTTTTGTACGTGAGAAGGGATTTGTGGTGCAAAGGGATAGTTGGGACTATCATTATAAATATTTTGATCCGGTGCTATTGGTTTATTTCGCATTGGAGGATATAATGAAGGATTATAAGAATCAGAACCAGTTGGTTTATTCTGCATTGGGGGAAAACCGGGATTATTATTAGGAATTTGTGAATTAGGTCCACTTGGTTCATTGGGTACATTTTGATATCCATAATAACTATCGTGACTAAATGAATCAGTTCCACTTGGTTGATTATGAGCATGTTGAAATCCAGGATGGTTATTTTGCACGTGGGTTTCCGATGCACTATGCTGGTTATGCACATGGGGAACTAACACTGGAGGAGGGACAGGGTTTGAGGGATAAGGTACTTGGGGTCTTTGATAATGAGGATTGGGAAGATTTGGCTGACGCATTGGAGGCCTGTTGCTCTGAGGTCCATATGGACTATTCAAATAGCCTTGAGGGGGAGAGCCTGGACGTAAAAGGGGAATTTGAGGAGCATCGATATGCAAGTTATCCTTTACATCTGGTTGATAACAGCAAACAAAATCTCTGTCACAATCGGATTGAATTATAACTTCTGACGGGCGATTACACATCCCTCTCAAAAATACGGGTATGCAAGCTCCAGGACAGGGGGATTGTAAATTGGGATAACTTGGAGTAGTTGTTGTCGTTGTTTCAGGTTCAGATTCTTCATTGCTAATGCAACATCGACCTTCATTTGGACAATGATATCCTTCAACAACTGAATCACATAAGAGACTGAACAGTGGGGAGACGCATGATCCAGGGCATAGTGGAGCTGTTATCTTTTCAGGAATAGTAGATACCTCCGGTTTCTCTTGCTTAACTGGTTCACTATCATATCCAACTGGTTTAGGAGTGGGAGTAGCAGCAGTTGATGTATCGTGTGGAAATTCATTCTCATCTTGATGGTGGGATGCACAACAGGTTGATCCTGTTTCGCACCACTCTGGAATAGTGTTGCTGCAATATCGCACAAATATATTTTCAACACAAATACCAGAACATGGTTTAAGCTTGATAGTAGCATTTGGCTGTGTGTGAAAGTTTGATGGTTTTGGTGTAGGGGGATGATGGTAAGTGTTATTTGGTTTGTAAGTAGTAATGGACGATGGTGAAGGGACAGTCTCGTGAATAGGATTTATGGTACTACCCCTGTTAGGAGTCGTTGAAATTAGGAAAACTTCGTATTCGGTGGAACTTTCCGTCGACGTCTCTTCTGGAAGTGGTGCTGAAGTTTCAACTACAGTTCCGAAATTAAAATCACTACTAACGCAACATCTTAAATAAGTTGCGCCACAGTTAAATTGTTCAATAACCCTAGTGCACAAAATGGATGTTAAGGCGTGTACACATTCTCCAGGACATGGAACTTGATTTTCCAAGTTAAATGTGTCATTCATTGGTACTTCTGCAGCACCCAATAAACCTGAAAAAAATAATAAAAGGTCTCTTAAGCAATAACAATTTATATAGTGTGTAACTGTAGCAAATGAAAGCAAGAAGCTGAAAGTTGATTTTATAACTAAATTTTTAACAATCTATTTTTCCACACATTAAAATAATACAATTTCTTTAACATGATTATCATTTTAAAGATTAACAAATGGAGTGCACGACTTAGGAAAAGATTTATAAAAATAATGACACAGGCATTGTGGAGGATCATCCCCCACAAAAGTATGTTTTCTTTCGAATGCTTTCTTTCTTTCATCACATTTTGGTGTCCAGACGATTATTGAAAGGTGTTATCATTTGTTATTAAATTTTGTCTCGTGATGCACAATAAAATTCGTGGAAAATCCTTTATTATTTTAAGCTTTCGATTCACAACAAAATTATTAAAAAAAATGAATTTTCCTCGTAAATGCACAGTATGAAATAACTACTTTAAATATTCATATCATGCGCAGTTTACAGCAAATTTTTCTCAAATTTTAAAACAATAATTTTGGTATTAATTTTAAATTACTTCAAAAATTTTGTTTTTATAAATTGAATATTCTTTAAATTATAGCAAAAAATTAGTAAGTCAAAAAAAACTAAGACAAAAAAAATTAGTTTTTTTATAAAAATGTTTGAACCCCTGTTCAGCCGGGCAATGAGATTGACGTATTAGCCCTCTCAAGTACAGTACCCATGTACCCAACTGCACAGAACAAAATAGCTTCGTGAGGTGGGCCTAGTTGGTGCGGATAGAATACTGGTTGTTAAACTGCATCAGGTAAAAACAATCAATAAACGTTTACTTAACAGTTCAAATATAATATTTCTTTATGGTTATTTAGTTGTTTTGATTGGATATAATAACAATTAAATAAATTGCTATTTAACCATTTTTACCGAGAAATTTCTTACAGTGTACAGTGTTTTCATTAAGAATTAGTTTTACTTATCTTATTAATTTATAACCAGGTCTATTAGCATTAACTATTTATTCACTTCGAGTTCTATCATGAGATTCCCTAAAGATTTTAAACTAGCTAAAATTACTAAGTAGTTAAAATAACAATATGGCGTTGCAAGGTTTAATAGAAAAAGGCATTTTTAATCAATATTTCCTTAACATAAAAATATAATTAATCTAAATTTTTTACCCAGCTTTCGCATACTAACATAAAAAATAAAATTAAATGATAAAAGCTCTGAATTAGGAAAGAGCGCTTTGTTTAAGCATAGTTTGTTTCCATTATTAATTCAAAAACACTTATATATTATAATTGTTTATAGAATTTACATATTTTGTATTTCATAGTCATTTATTATAATTGTTTCTTCAGAATTACAAAATTTGAAAAAAATGTAACAGTCTTTTTTTTTTGGGCGTAAAAGAATAATTTCTCCCATATAATTTCGAAACAAAAAGGCGCCACAGAAATTGCTAGTGCGTAAATAATTTCTGCATGTGTGAGAGTAAAGAAATTAGTAAAGCTAAAATATATAATGTTGAGAAAATACAACGTCTTCTCTTTAATAAGAGACATAAAATTTTTTTTTTTTTTTTTTGTATATAATGACTTTTTTTGTGTTCTATTTCGGTGGGAAAATTATAATTTCAGTTTTTGTTTCCCTTGAAACCAGACCGGAATTTTGTTAACATAACAGTCTTCATATTTTAACCTGATGGTTTTGGTCGAGTTTTGACTGATGACGCGAGAAATTGTAAACCGTTAATTGTTCAAAAACATGAACGAGACGGAAAAAAAGGAAGTAAAAAGGAAACTTTGTAAAATTGGTAACAGTAAATACTTTTGTAAAAAAAAAGAGTTTAAATTTTAAATTTAAACTAATTATTTATATCTATTATCGTTCAAACATGGATTTGGATTGTTCAATTAATTTGCGTTTAAAAAAGTTGAAAACATCGGCAACTTTCCTATTTATAGTTTCCGTTCAAAATGAAAAGTTATTTTGCACTTTTATTTTTTAGAATTTTTTCAAAATTTGTTTACTTTTTAAAACAAGTGCTGATTCAAATTTTGATTTCATTATTATCCAATATCCATAAATTACCCTTGTAAAGTTTTATGCACTTAACGTGGTTTTAACTTTTCTTAAAAAAAATTTATCAAAAATAATTTCAAAACTACGAAATTAATTTTAATATGTAATGTAAGTAATCGCCATAATAATTGACTATTTCAAATAAATACATTTAATTGTGAAATTCGGATTTTGAGTATTTTTATTTTGAAATAAAAACAATAAGTTAGTCAGTTTTATTATTTTTAAATGAGTATGAACCATGGATAGTAAAAGCTTTTACCAAAACTTTGTTTGGAAATATAATGTTTGAAAGTTCACTATCATATTGCAAATTTAAACTAAGCTTTAAAAGAGGAGTCCAGATAACATATAGCTTAGATAACATAGCTTAGATAATAACATAAGTGCGAAAATTAGACTTGACGCATAAATATTTTTAAAAAAGTTGTAAAGTTAGACATAATTGTACATATTTTTTTCTTGCGTTGTAGGTTCATGTTGCAGGTACGTTACTTATTATAAATTTTAAAATTTCATTAAAAATAGAGAAAAATAAAAAAGGCGTTACATCTATAAGAAACTACACACATTTTTATCCAAGCATAAGAAGCTGAATAATTTTTTATGATTTTATTTTTAGTTTTAAAAATCGAAGTAAAACAAATAAGGTATAACTTAAATAAAATAAATCGATGCAGGTTTTTTTTATTTATTTTTTAAAGAAAAGAATGAAAGATTTTTTTTTTGCAAGTTTTATGAAAACTGTTCCTTTTTTAATCGTAAAAGTTATGGGAGGATTTTTTAAACTATTCATCTATTAAAACGTGACAAAAATTTTGATTAAAGTACTCTCCTAGAAAATTTTTCTTGAATGTTTTAGCTTTCAAAAAAGCAGTAATTCTCTACTAAAAAAACTGTATTTTTAAGAAAATTTATCTTGATTTTTAGGTGAGATGCCTCTCAAAAATTGGTATTTCATAACTTTAGTAACAGATAAAAATTCTACACATTTCTTAAAGAAAGTAAAGATTGAAGATGGAAGTTTATAAATACATTTTAAATTTCGAATGCAACGCTATAAAATATCAGCCATATTGAAAGGCTTTTGTTTTTATATCGTATTATTTTTTTTTATTCATTTCGAACTATTATAGCTATTATGTCTTTTTAAAACTCTGAATTTGCAATAAGTTTCGAATTTTTGATGTTATTTAAATAATGAAAAGTTATAATAATTCAAAAAGCAAATAAATTATGAATTCAGATAAAAATAAAAACACAATAGTCGATAAAAAGAAATATAAGATCACAAAAAGAATTACAAATTTCGTGAAACAAATTTTTAATTTAAAAAAAAAAGTTTGATCACATTTTTGAAATCAAGTAGAATTTTTTGAAAAGTCGATTAACTTTGAATAATTTAACTTTGAGTTCTATAGAGATAGAGAACCTTAAATCTATTATAATTTCTTAAAGATTTACAAATGAAAGAAAAAGTTTGAAAGAATCAGAATAAGTTTGTATAATAGATGTGTTTTACAATACAGTGGATATTTCTTTGGATGTTCACAAACGTGTGGTATACGGAGCAAAGAAAGTAGAACCGCATCTATCAAAAAATGAAATCAAAACAGAACAAAAGTTTATTTTTTCTTGATTTTTTTTCTTCTTTAACATAAGTGACATGCGAGAAACGTGTCCTGTTTAAACAAAAAAAAATAAATAAGTAAACTCTTCTGCAATATTGCTCAAGTGTGACTTTCAGTCTTTTAAGAAACAAGTAGGAAAAATAGGAATTATATTAAATGTATTTTTTACTAGATCTATAGGAATTCTGAAAAATTAAATGACATCCGTTTCGAGGAATGGGAATTAATTTACTTAAAATAAACAAAAATTTACTTAATTAACTAAAAATAAATTTAATTAACCTGAATATACAAAAAATTACTAGAAATGTATAGATTTATAAGGAAAAAATAATAAATAAGATAATTATTTTATAACCACATTAATAACAAGCTAAGATTATGCGTGCAATATTCAAAATCGTTAATCATAATAAAAAAAGAAATAAAAATATAATTTCCATTGAAAAAATCCAAAGAGTTCGGAAATAATATTTCTTTAAAAAAATAATAATAATGAATCGTTTGCTCTCAACTTTTTTTTCGATCTCTTGGCAGCATTTAATCAATCGTTTGGTTTTTAGAATAATCCAAGTTCCGAAAATACGGTAATGAGTTTCCGAGTCTTAATATGGTAGATGACTTAAACCATGGTAGATATAGGCATCAAAAGGTAGTATAGGCATCATTTTGGTGTTCCCATATAGCCAGAAAAACGGTAAGTTTAGCCATATTCTTTTAGTTTTCCCCATACTCTTTTCCTCAGTTTACAAAAGTAGAGAGTTTTTTTCAAAATAAATTTTGCATTATTAAAATTTTTTAACTTTCATTTATGCTTTCAGAAATTTATTTAAACGTAGCATTTTTTTTTAAAAAATAATAACAGCAATTTTATTATTCATTTAATTAAATCTACTTAAAAATTGCTCAAGTGCGAAAAATGACTCTTAAATTGTCTTTATTTTTGACTGCAAGTAATTTTTTTTAATTAAATTATTGAAACCAGCTTTACGCATCCAAAAAGGAATGTCGCATTTATAAGGTTTGATTTCTTATGGTCAAGATTGCCCAGTTTAAAATTGCAATTTAAACAAAATATTAATTACAACTTAATAAAGATGCAATAACGGAAAACAATTCCAAATACTTACGCAACTCATAAGATTTTATGATAGAGAGATTTAATAATATGATATTTTAATGAAAATATCTTATGAATATGAATTATGTATAATTAAGATCTTACTGTGAAACTGAAATATATAATTGAGTACGCAATATTTTCATTGCCACCATTTCATTGCCAACTTACCTA